TATACGTGTCTTGATTGCAATCGCAGCATTGCATAATCTTGAAATACATCAAATGGATGTCAAAACCGCGTTTCTAAATGGTGAATTAGAAGAAGAAATCTACATGGAACAACCTGAAGGGTTTGTTGCACCAGGAAATGAAAAGAAGGTGTGTAGACTTGTAAAATCATTGTATGGATTGAAACAAGCACCGAAGCAATGGCATGAAAAGTTTGATAAAACTATGTTGTCAAATGGCTTCAAAATCAATGAATGTGACAAATGTGTCTACATTAAAAACACACCTAACGAATATGTGATCATATGTTTGTACGTTGATGATATGCTAATTATGGGAAATAACTCGAAAGTCATTTCTTCAACTAAGAAAATGTTGATAAACATTTCAACATGAAAGATATGGGAGTTGCAGACATACTATTAGGGATTAAGATCTCTAAAACACCTATTGGTTTGTCATTGTCTCAATCACATTATGTTGAAACTATACTTAAGAAATTTAAGGCGTATAACGATAAAACGGTGAAGTCACCAGTTGACTTAGGTATTTACTTAGCCAAGAATACTGGTGAGCCCGTATCTCAATTGGAATATTCGCGTGTCATTGGTAGTTTAATGTATATTACCAACTGCACAAGACCGGATATAGCATATATAGTCAACAAGTTGAGTAGATTCACTAGTAATCCAAGTGTTGTACATTGGAAGACATTAAACCGAGTTCTTAGATATTTAAGACACACGGTTGAATATGGATTACACTACTCAAAATATCCTGCAGTATTAGAAGGATATACTGATGCAAATTGGATATCTGACGCTAAGGATTCAAAATCCACGAGTGGTTACATATTTACCATTGGAGGTGGAGTCGTGTCCTGGAAATCGTCTAAGCAAACATGTATTGCTCGATTCACGATGGAATCTGAGTTTATTGCGTTAGACAAAGCCGGTGAAGAAGCAGAATGGCTTCGTAATTTTCTTGAAGAAATTCCATGTTGGGAAAAGCCGGTTTCTGCGATTAATATACATTGCGATAATCAGTCGGCAATAGCAAGGGCACAAAACAGTATGTATAATGGTAAGTCTCGACATATCCGTCGGAGACATAATACCATTAAACAGTTAATATCGAATGGTATAATCTCTATTAACTATGTGAAGTCAAAAGAAAATTTGGCTGATCCTTTGACGAAAGGACTTGCAAGAGATCAAGTTTACCATCTTTCGAGGGGAATGGGCCTAAAGCCTATTGAATAGAATTACTATGATGAAAAACCCAACCTTGTAGATTGGAGATCCCAAGATCTTGGTTCAATGGGACAACTAAGTCGTAAATGATTCGGAATAAAGCACTTATTCCCATTCCTAAAATTTAAAGTGCTATGTAAAATGTGTATAAGGATAAGTATACATATATACTTTTAATGATTCATAACCTTGAGATAGAAAGGTATGAGATCACCTATATAAGTGTGAAATGGGGCCGTTTCTACGAGAATTCGAGGCTTAATTCTCTTAGGGCACTTATGAAACCAAGAGTTGTCCAGGGACAAAATGGACTCAACCATGAGAACCGAATGGGTTAGATGAGTCATGGTGTTGGTACAGTTGTTTGGTTTTACACAAACGGCTGGATGGTTCAAGACATCGCGTTCACCAACTAGCCTAGTAAATCCGATTGTATTCAACTAAAGAAGGTTCAAGGCCACAAGCTACCTATCTTGATGCTATGACTTGTCGTGTGTACTCCATTTGTTAGAGTCTGCATTTCATTTTCATTGCATTCGCATTGTGTTGCGCATATTGAGGAATTTCCATTCATGTGGGGGATTGTTGGATATTGGTTAAATAAATCGAGAATTGAAAATCGATTAAAGTGACTTCGTATCGACTTCGGCCAAATACTCAAAAGCTCAACTCAATCCGTTTAGGCAAAATTGTTTGCCACTTCGCCGCTTCGAGGCGCACAAACGGGGATCGACCTGCCCAGTCAGGTCGCGGGGGGCTCGGGGGCAACGCCTCCGAAAGAGAATTTTGATTTCTCTGCATGTATTGAAAGATATATTTGGCATTTCGAAAACCAATATCGGATGAATGAGAAATTACGAAAAAGGACGAAAATCAGGTCAAAATATTTGACCGTGCAACCGCACGGTTGTCCGGTGAATAGACACCTTTTCAAAAATGTGCATTGTTTGGAAAGGGTGCATGATTTTGAATAGACACCTTTTCATAAAGGTGCATTGTTTGGAAATGGTGCATGGTTTGGCCTCCACCATTTCGTCCACACCCTTTCATGGTCTATAAATAGGATCCTTTGGATGTCCTATTCCTCACAATTTGATATGCAAAACATCTCTCATCCTCTCTTCTATCCAAAATCAAAATCATTTCATTTATTTTGATTTTCCTTCATTTCATCCTTGGAGTACATAAGCCTAAATTTGATTCGTTGTACTTGTGTTTTGGAGTGCTACAAAAACAAGTGTAGCCGTTGTATCTTGGGAGTCGATTGCCGAAATCCGTAGGCACCGTTGCGGGGCAAATTCGACTTAAGGACAAAGAGTCCAACTCTTGCCTAGGCTTTGTCCCTACTTTCTTCTTCTTCTTGTTTGTGTTTTCTTTGCCGTTACTCTGTCCAATTTTCGGCACGGATTTACAAACCATCATTATACTTATTTTGGCGTCACTATTCACAAAATTCCTCCAACATGTACGCACTTCACATGTCACAATTGAAACAATTTACTAACCTAGTCACACCCACGACTTTTAACATGGGTGTCACACTTTCCACTTTGGGCATATACGTATGGCAAATATATGTATGCCACATTACCCAAATCATATGTTACAGTTGCCGAATTTCACTTGTATGGGTCATACACTACAAATTCAAAAATAATTGCGAGATCAAGACATACAAGAAGACAGAGGTTACATTAGACACGGTTTTGAGAATGAGACATACGACATACACAATCCATTTGTACCTTTTTATCACAACTTAAGAAAAAATGAAGTCACAAAAATAAAAATTCATTTTTCGTTCATCTACTCATATGGTCGAATGTATAAGTATTGAGAGAAAGAGAGATGCTACATGTTTAATTAGTAATTACACTTTTTTTCCATTTTGAGTTTCTCTAATTATGGTATTTGTGAAAAAAGTAATCTTAAATTATGGTAATTAGTAATTACACTTTTTTTTCCATTTTGTGGAAAGGTTAGAACGTGAAATGAAGGTTGTGGGAGAGTATTTTTCAATTTATAGTGGTAACATGAGGAATTGTTCAGATAACAATGATGAATGGACGGCCAGGCGCTGATCAGATGCAAGCCTAAAGAGAGGATTACATATCTTTGAAACTCACTTTTGTGGATGACGTGAATATTTTAATATTTGACAAAGATTTGTGTAAGTTGAATAGGTTAATAAACCAAAAAAAGGGCAAAAATATATATTATTTATCATGGATTGACCGTATAAAAGACAACTATTTAAGCGACGATTTTTATTGTCACTACCGCTACGCATGGCGGCTCTATGAACACCGCCTCATAGACGGCCCTGTTAGAGAAGATTGAGACGAGGAGAGAAGATTAGACGAGGAGAGAAGATTTTTTCCATCAACGCCCCTGTGAGAAGTGAGAGACAGGATGAAAGATATTTTAGGTTTTGTGGTGGATGTGATGGGCGTGGATAAATTTAAAAATATTATTAATAATTTAATTAATGCTTGATTTTTGATTAAATAAACTTCGCATTTGATTTTTGATTTGGAAAACTTAAATATCTGTTAATATGTAATTTGCAGCCTTAAATTGCTTATTTGGACCTTAGTTGCTAAACTGTTAGAACACCACTCTTTTTTATTTAAAACACAAAAATCGAAAATATATTTGTATCTAATGATTCACAACGTACTTTAAATTAAACAAAGGATGTAATATGTCTCTGGTCCTTTTCGTTTTTCTAGTTTTGACAAATTTTGGACGCACTATTTTCGTGATCACGAAGAAAGGAAAAAATAGCCCGCCTTTGTTTATAAGCTAAAATATGAACATATAAGCACGGATGTCAGGTGAATTTCCTTTCAAAAAAACAAATAAGTTTTGATACAAAAATATAAGAAACTCTCTTTTAAAAGTTTGTTCAATTGATATTATTTTCCATGAAAAATATAATTTTTTTCACTTGCATTCCTAGTTTTAGAGTATTTGATTGAGACATTTTTTACGAAAAATATTTTTTTTGAAAAAATCAATCACGGGATCATATTTTTTGTAAAAATTTTAAAAAAAATAAAAATTTCAAGGGGAAAGTTTTCAGGCAATTCATAATATCAAAAAATTCGCCTTTACGCGCTCAATCTAATTACTCATGTTAACCCCTCTCTTTCATCAATATTTTCTTCCAAAAAGCTAGGCCCTGTAACGTACACTCAGTACGTTTAGCACAACCCTATTTTCTTTAACCTTTCCTTCCATTCGGTGACTCAGATTTTCATTGCTGCGATCCGAATTTCATAGATTTGGTTTCTGGGTTTTTGAGGCACTGCTAAATAATTAATAATCTTGGTATTTTCCAAAATCTCTATTTTTCTTACTTGTTTTTGGTTCTTCATATGTACAATTTTCCTGCTTCTGTTGCTATCTTTTTGTTTTGTGAATTATGCGACCAACCTTTTTAATGTCCACCGTTTTTCTGATTATTTGATTTATCATCTAAATTAGTGGGTTTGTTCAACCTTGATTCGATTTTATTTCATGAATTCTGGTAGTTCTTAAGGATTATTTGATTTCCTAGAGAGTGTCATTAAAAAGGTTCAAGTTTTGAGACCATGAGTAGTTTATTTTCTCAGATTATTATGTTATGATGGTGCTCATCTGCTAATGTCAAAAGGTCTTCCATTGAATCCGGTATATGTGCTAGTTTTGCCCCATTTCGTTTGTTGTCTGGATGATGCCCATAGAGTACCACTCTTGCAAGAAGTGTATTTGATAATGCCTAAAATGAAGGGATACCTGCAAAATAGATATATAGAAAAATTCGCTTTTACCTGCTCAATCTAGTTACTCTCACTAACTCTTTTCTCTTGTCAATATTTTCTTTCAAAGAGCTGGCCTTCATAATGTATACCCTGTACGTTTTGCACAGCCCTATTTTCTTTAACATTTCCTTTCATTCAGCGCCTCAGATTTTCATTGCTGTGATCCGAATTCCATAGATTTGATTTTTGGGTTTTTGAGATTCTGCCAATTAATTGATATTCTTAGTATTTTTTGAAATCTCCGTTTTACTTACTTGTGTTTGGATTTTCATATGTACAATTTTCCTGCTTTCGTTGCCATCTTTTTGTTTTGTGAATAATGTGACGAACTTTTTCAATGTCCACCGTTTTTTGGATTATTTGATTTATCATCTAAAATTATGGATTCGTTCATCCTGGATTCAATTTTATTTCCTAAATTCGGGTAGTTCTTAAAGATTATTTGATTCCCTAGAGAGTGTCATAAAAAAGTTTAAGTTTTGGGATTTCCAGGTCCCTTTGACCATGAGTAGTTTGTTTTCTCAGATTATTATGTTATGATGGTGCTCGTCTGCTAATGTCAAAAGGTCTTCCATTGAATCAGGTAGATGTGCTAGTTTTTCCCCATTTTGTTTATCATCTAGATGATGTCCGTAGAATACCACTCTTGCAAGAAGTAAGGATACATGCAAAATATATAGAAGAAGAATTCGCCTTTACCTGCTAAATCTTATTACTCACGTTAATCCTTTCTCTCGTCAATATTTTTCCACCAAGAAGCTGGCACCCGTAATGTACACCCTGTACGTTTAGCAACCTTTCCTACCATTCGGCGCTTCATATTTTCATTGCTGTGATCCGTATTCCATATATTTGGTTTCTGGGATATTGAGACTCTACCAATCAATTGATAATCTTGGTATTTTTCGAAATCTCTGTTTCTCTTACTTATTTTTGGGTTTTCATATGTACAATTTTCCTGCTTCTATTGCCATCTTTTTGTTTTGTGAATTATGTGACCAACTTCTTCAATGTCTACCATTTTTTGAATTATTTGATTTATCATCTAAAATTATGGGTTCGTTCATCCTGGATTCAATTTTATTTTCTGAATTCTGGTAATCCTTAAGGATTATTTGATTTCATGGAGAGTGTCATTAAAAAGGACCATGAGTAGTTTATTTTCTCAGATTATTATGTTATGATGGTGCTCATCTATTAATGTCAAAAGGTCTCCCATTGAACCAAGTAGATGTGCTAGTTTTTCCCCATTTTGTTTGTCATCTAGATGATGCCCATAGAGTATCGCTCTTATAGAAAGTGTATCTGATAATGCCAAAAATGTAGGGATGCCTGCAAAATGGATAATAGAATAATTTGCCTTTACCTGCTCATTCTAATTATTCATGTTAACCTCTCTCTCATCAATATTTTCTTTTAAAAAGCTAACCCCCGCAACGTACACTCTGTACGTTTAGCACAACCCTATTTTTTTGACATTTCCTTCCATTCGATGCCTCAGATTTTCATTGCTGCGCTCCAAATTCCATAGATTTGGTTTCTGGGGTTTGAGACTCTGCTAATTAATTGATAATCTTGGTATTTTCCAAAATCTCTAGTTTTCTTACTTGTTTTTGGGTTTTCATATGTACAATTTTCCTGCTTCTATTGCTATCTTTTCGTTTTGTGTATTATGAGACCAACTTTTTCAATGTCCACCGTTTTTTGGATTATTTGATTTATCATCTAAAATAGTGGGTTCGTTCGACCTGGATTCGGTTGTATTACCCTAATTCTGGTAGTTCTTAAGGAATATTTGATTTCCTAGAGAGTGTCAATAAAAAGGTTTAAGTTTTGGGATATCAAGTCATTTTGATCATGAGTAGTTTATTTTCTCTGATTATTATGTTTAATGGTGCTCATCTACTGATGTCTAAAGATCTTCCATTGAACCGGTATATGTGTTAGTTTTCCCCCATTTCGTTTGTCGTCTGGATGATGCACATAGAGTACCACTCTTGTAGTAAGTGTATTTGCAAATGCTTAAAAAATGTAGGGATGCCTGCAAAATAGATAGATAGAAGAATTCGCCTTTACCTGCTCAATCTAATTACTCTCGCTAACTCCACTCTCTTCAATAATTTCTTCCGAAAAGTTGGCCCCCGTAACATACACCCTGTACATTTAGCACAGCCCTATTTTCTTTAACCTTTCCTTCCATTCGGTGCTTCAGATTTTCATTGCTGTGATCTGAATTTCATAGATTTGGTTTCTGGGTTTTTGAGATTCTTCCAATTAATTGATATTTTTCATATTTTTGGAATCTCTGTTTTACTTACTTGTCTTTGGATTTTCATACGTAAAATTTTCCTGCTTCTATTGCCATCTTTTTGTTTTGTGAATTATGTGACCAACCTTTTCAATGTCCACTATTTTTCGGATTATTTGATTTATCATCTAAAATT